ATGGGGGCTTGAGCTAAGGTGGATGTAGTAGGAGAAATGAGAAGGATTGGACTTTGAATATATTTGAAGGATAGAGTAAATGATCAAACAGAATGCAGAAATTACAGAACAGCTTCATTAATACCACATACAAATAAAGTTTTGCTGAAGATAATTCAGAAATGCATGTAGCAGTACATCAACAGGGAACTGCCAGATAGATATTCAGGCCGGATTCAGAAGAGGATGTGCAATGAGGGATATTATTGCTAATGTCAGATGAATCTTGGCTGAAACCCAAAGAATACCAGAGGATGTTTACCTGTGTTTTATTGACTATACAAAAGCATTCAACTGTGTGGATCATAAAAAATTATGGATATCATTGTGAAGAATGTGAATTCCAGAACACTGAATTATGCTCAATACAGAACCTGTACATAGATCAAAACACATTCATTCAGGGATACTGTATGGTTTCAAATCAGGAAAGGTGTGCCTCAGGAGTGTATCCTTTCCTCATACTTATTCATTCTGTACACTGAGCAAATAATCTAAGAAGCTGGACTATATAGAGAAGAACATGGCATCAGGATTGGAGGAAGGCTCATTAACAACCTGTGATATGCAGATGACACAACCTTGTTTGATGAAAGTGAAGAGGACTTGAAACACTTACTGATGAAGATCAAAGACTATAGTCTTCACTATGGATTACACTTCAACATAAAGAAAACAAAAGTCCTCACCACAGGGCCAATAAGCAAAGTCATGATAAATGGAGATAAAATTGAAGTTGTTAAGGATTTCATTTTACTTGGATTCACAATCAATGCCCATGGAAGCAGCAGACAAAAAAATCAAATGATGTATTACATTAGGTAAATATGCTGCCAAAGACCTCTTAAAAGTGTTAAAAAGCAAAGGTATCACTTTGACGACTAAGGTACGCCTGACCCAAGCTATGGTATTTTCAATCACCTCATGTGCATGCAAAAGCTAGACAATGAATAAGGAAGACAAAGAAGAACAGATGTATTTGAATTATGGTGTTAGCAAAGAATAATGAGTATACCATGGACTGCGAGAGGAACAAAGAAATCTACCTTGGAGAAAGTACAGCCAGAATGTTCCTTAGATGTGAGGATGGCAAGACTTTGTTGTACGCATTTTGTATATGTTATCTGGAGGGACCAATCCCTGGAGGACATTATGCTTGGTAAACTAAAGGGTCAGCAAAAAATACAAAGATCCTCAATGAGATGGATTTAACAGTGGCTGCAACGATGGGCTCCAGCATAGTAACTGAGAATCGTGCAGGACCGGGCAGTGTTTTGTTCTATTGTACATATGGTTGCTATGAGTTGGAAATGACTCAACAGCACCTAACAAAAACAAAGGTTCAATTATCTGATGTATGGTCTAAGATAGAGAAGCCAAGGATAAGCAGGTTTATCATGACTCATCTCCTCTCTCATGCCACACAGTTGGGACTCAGCACATTTCATCTCTGAAAACTAGAGATGAGCAGCTCCTTTTATTTAAAGGTTGTTGTTAATTGCCTTTGATAAAGGCAGTCACTCAAGGTAATTTTGGCCATTAAAGAGTTGGTGGTCCTACCTCAATCTGCAGGCAAGATTTGTTTTCTGATTCCCTCCCCTTCCTACAATCTCTGTGTTGTTTGTCCACTGGTTGTAAATGGCATAAGTGGCTAGCTCTTTCTCCTACCTGCATTCATCAGTGGAAGGTCTTTTAGTTTTTTTTTTTTTTTTCTGTCACTACTTTGGGATATTCCAAAAGAAAAGTGGATACTGTTTCCAGAGGAAAAGAAGTAGGACAGTTGTAAATAACACCCCTCTAGTCACCAGCTTGATTTTAAGATGACTGAAAATCTAATAGTGAATTATGCTATTTTAGGAACTATACTATTGCTTTAGTACTGTAGATCTGGTAAATCTACTTGGTTGTATATTTAGTCCTTCACAGTTCTTGAATCAAGTAATTATGATTGGAAAAGTTAACTCAGATGACTGATGAAAACTAAGTTTGAATAATTCTTTGTGTCAATGTAGTACATTGGTAGAAGTAACATTAAACATTAATAAGTGAAAAGCATCACTCATTTTGGCTAAGTAGCATTTCGCGTTCCTTTTAATGTGGACTTCATTTTAGCTTTTCAAAACACTGAGGTGCTGGGCAATATTGCTGTTATCTAGTAGCTGTAAAAGCTTGGGCAAGGTAGTTACCTGTCCAAGGCTTCATTTTTCTCATCCATAAAACCCTATTGTACTTGAGTCCAGCCCTCCTATTGTCATCTGATCCTAGGGACATTACATAGTTTTAAAATTTTATTCATTTAAGTGCAAGGACAATATTGTTGGGCCTAGCTTTTAACAATGGATTATCTAATGTAATAACAAAACTATAAACAGCAAAAGATGGCTACCATAGATAAATGAGACTTCATAAAAAAATAAAATATTTTGTTCATCAAAAGACTTTCCCCAAAAAAGTGAAAAGACAAGCTACAGACTGGGAGTCTATCTTCAGAAATCATGTATTTAATAAAAGTCTAATAACCAAAAATCATATAAAACTTAGACAATTTAACAATAAAAAGACAATCCAGTCATAAAATGGGCAAAGGACTTGAATAGATATTTAATCAAAGAGGACATTCAGATAGCCACCAAACACATAAAAAGATGCTCAACATCATTAGCCACCAAAGAGATGCATCAAAACCACAATCAGATACCATTTTACTGCTAGTAGGATGGTTAAGATAAAATAAAAAACAGAAAATAACAAATTGTGATGAGGATATGGGAAAATTGGAACACTTACCCATTGCTGGTGGGAATGCAAAATGGTACAGCAAAAAAAAAAAAAAAAAAAATAGAACTGTCATCTTCCAAAAACCTATTGCCATGGAATTGAATTCTGACTCATAGTGACCCGATAGGGCAGAATAGAACTGCCCTATAGGATTTCTAAGACTGTAAATCTTTATGGAAACAGACTGCCTCCTCTTTCTCCTGCAGAGTGGCTGGTGGGTTTCAAACACCAACCTGTCAATTAGCAACCAAGAGCCTAACCATTGTGCCACCAGAACTCCTTAGTACGAACATATGACCCAACGATTATACTCCTAGGAATATTCACAGGCTTGAAAGCAGAGATTCAGAGACTTGTACACCAATGCTCATTGCAGCACTATTCACAATAGTCAAAAGGCAGAAACAATCTAAATACCCATCAATAGATGAAGGGACAAACAAAATGTGGTATATACAGACAATTGAATATTACTTGGCCAGTAGAAGAAATGAAATTTTGATAGTGCTACAATATTGATGGATCTTGAAGACATTATGCTAGTGAAATAATCACAAAAGTATAAATATTATATGACCTCACTTACATAAAAAGAGAAGAAAAGGCAAATGCATAGAGACTAAAGTTTATTAGTGGTTATCAGGCATTGGAACGAGGGGGAAAAAGGGGAGTACTGCTTATGGAGTACTGAAATTTGGTTCAGGGATGGAAAAATCACATTGATTAAGGGTAGATTTGCACAGATAATTAATGTAATTGCTACCAGGAATAAAGAGTAGCTGCTAAGGCTGCTTATGTACAACCAAATACCTCATGGGATTTGGTTCCTTGGTTTAGAAATTTAGGGTCATGATTTCATGAACCATTCCGTTTAATTGGCCTAATTATAGTTTTAGTGCTTCTTTTCTATCTTAATTCACTTGGTCTCTATTTGCCTAGAGCCACAAAGGGAGCACCAGAGTCAGGAACAGGAGGAGAAAATGGAATGTGGCTCACTAAACAAACTGCCTCCTTTACCATGAGACTAGCTACCATTACTGAACATTTCGATCAAAAGAGTCTATAGTAGAATTCTGATCAAAATGGGTAAAATGCAGCACAGAATTTCAAATTTTTATATGCTGCAGACTTTTTGGTGTCATGGAAGCTGGATGAATACCTGAAACTATTGCCCTAAAATAATCTTAAGTCTGAAGTCCTCTTAAAACTAAACAGTAGTGAAGTAGTTAAAATAATGTCTTTACTATTACGCATTACGCTCTTTTGAAAACTACGTATATGAGATCAAATTGACAACAGAAACTGAAAAGATTAGAAAGGAAAGTTAGGGGGCAGTGTGTTTATATTAATTGGGGGAGCAACTCGGAAGAGTAAGAATGGTTGCACAACTCATAAAATGTCATCAGTGTCATCGTATTGTACATGTAGAAACTGTTGAATTGGTGTATGTTTTTGTTGGGTATATTCTTAGCAAAAACAAAATTATTTTTTAAAAACTGCATTCATTTAGCAAGTGTTTGGTTTAATAATGCAAAATAGTGTTTGTTGCTGCGAATACCAAGAAACACAAGTTTCCGTCCTTCTAGAGCAAGATATTTATATAATGAAACGAACCAGTCGTGAATCTGGTTTTTAGTCCTTACAGGCTCTCTTTTGTTGGCAAGTTAACTGTCAAGTAAATCAGCTCCTACAGTGACTACCCGAACACTCACTGTGGGATCCCCGCTGGGAATCCAACCTTCCTTAAATCGCCATTCTAAGGCGGAGATTCAGTATTTCATTTTATTTTCATTTTTTAAGGTATGAAATTAAGCGAATCCTATTTAGGTTTGTTATCTGGTGTCCTTCTGGGGGGCAAATTCCCTTACTTGTCCCAGTGACGTCACATATGATCGCATGCTACACAGCAAGGCTCAAGCTTTACTTCTTGGTTCTAGGTGAAATGGACTATTGGGCAACGACCAACGGGATAGTTCGTGTCCCGCAGCGGGGCGGGAACTCAAGCTTTAGCTTCGGACTCCACCCTACCCGCCCCCGCCCCCGGCTCCGCCCCCGGCCCACCTCTCGCCCATGTACGTAGCGTGCGCGCGTAGCGCTGGGTAGAACGGGCCGGTTTCTCCGGCGCTTGGCGCCCCCCGCCGGCAGAGAGACCTCAATGCGACCTCTGGACCTGAACGCCTGCTATGGAGTCGCAGAAAGAGGCGCGAACGCCCGGGGACCACGTAACGCGGACGTGTGAGAAATCAAACTGTCAGACCCGGAACGAGGAGGAGGAGCTGGAAGGAGGCGAGGCGCCAACGGTAGCTACCCTGAACACGGAGGCAGACGGCGCCAACGCAGACGGGCTTTGGAAGTTACCGGTGGAGTCAGCCGAGCGAAGGCCTGAGTGCAGCCGCTGCAGGTGACTGCGGGGCTGGGGGCGGGGACCGCTGTCGGCGTCAGCCTACGGAGGATTCTGTGGCGCCCTCTGCCGTGGTGGCGGCCACGGCGCCGGCTCCGGCCGCCCAGCACTCGGGAGTGGGGTCCACTGGTGGGTTCTCTTGTGAATTACCTGGCATAGCTGTTTAGTAAGAAGCCATTTATCTAGGGTCATGATTATTTAACATTACTTCCTGCAGACACTGAGCATGTCATTGCATGAGGGGATATAAGTTTGGCTTGCAAGAAACTTAGTCTGGCAGGGAAGCAAGACATAATGACAGTAGTACTCATAATAGTTAACTTTTTTTTTTTTTTTTTGATGTATTTAAGGGAAATAGTTATCACACAGTAAGAAAACAATGTGTTGGAGAAGAGAGACAAGCAAGGTGGCTATTGCATTAAGATTGTATTCAGAATTCTGGATTCATTCACAAATATCTATTGAGCACCTGGTTTGTACCAGGCACTGTGTTAGGTCTTGAAAATGCAGCAGTGAATAAAGCAGACATAGCCCCTGCCCTCACTGGGACACTTAAAAGTCTAATGAAGAGGCAGTTTATAAAACAAGCAACAGCGACTAAAGTTATTGAGTGCTCACAATGTGCCCAACTCTTTAAGTACTTTTCGGTTTACTTGTGTGGACTGGCATATTTTAGAATTGTGAAAGTTTGCCTCCACTGATTATTTGGAATCTTGTGCTATTCAGATGTATCACTTTCTTTATCTCCTAGTGTTCAAGATCATTTTCTTGATTACCAAGTTCTTTAACTATTACTTATCCCTCTGTTGCCTTTCAATATTTAAATATTAGGTAGATAATGGCTCTACTTCTTCACCTTGGACTTACTCTGCAATTTGTCATGAGATTATACAATGTATGGTGTACTGGTGACTACTAAAGTCATCATTTACCTCCATGAAACAAAATGCAAAGGATCCTTTTTTTGTTTACATTTTACTAGACCCGTTGGCAGCATTCACTTCTTGAAACAAACTCCTTCCTTGCCTTCTCTTTGATTTGTCTAACTGCTCTTTCTAATTCTCCTTTGCCGTTTTCTCTTCTAACTTCCCTAATATTAATATCACATGCAGGTTGCCCTACTTGGAATACTTTTCTCTTGACTAGATCATTCTCATCTTTCAGATCTCAGTGCAAATGCTATCTCATTCCCAGTCTCCTTTGCCTTTTTCTCCCCTTTTTGTAATACTAGTATCACACCCAAGTGAAATTTTGTTGAAGATAATTTAAAAACAGTTGTAGCAGTACATTCACAGGGAATTGTCAGATATTGAAGCCAGATTCAGAAGATGCCATGGAATGAGGAATATCATTCCTGATGTAATTTCTGTGAATACCTGTGTTTTCTCAAGGTGAAAGAATTGAAAAAAAAAAAAAAATTCAACTCTCGAGTTGCCATATTGAAGGATTTTATGAGCATAATGATACAGGAAGCATCAAAAACAAGATGGAGGGAATATGCAGAATCACTGTACCAAAAAGCATTGGTTGATATTTATCCATTTCATGAGGTAGCATATGATCAAAACTGATGGAATTGAAGGAAGAAGTCCAAGCTGCAATGAAGGAATCCACAAAGAAAAAGGCCCCAGGAATTGACAGGATTCAGATGTTTCAACAAATGAATGCAACACTGGAAGCCCTTGGTTGTTCATGCTAAGAAATTTGGAAGACAGCTTTCTGGCTAATTGACTGGAAGAGACCCATGTTTGTGCCCATTCCAAAGAAAAGTGATCAAACAGAATGTGGATATTATTGAACTATAGCATACACAAAATTTTGTTGAACATAATTAAAAATTGGTTGCAGCACTACATTGAATGGGAACTGCCAGAAATCCAAGCCTGATTCAGGATGTGGAAGGAGGGATATCACTGCTGATGTCAGGTGGATCTTGGCTGAAAGCCGAGAATACCAGAAAGATGTTTATTGGTATTTTATTGACTGTGCCAAGGCACTTGACTCTGTGGATCATAATAAAATATGGATAACACAGTAAAAAATGAGAATTTTGGAACATTAATTGTGTTTACGCAGAACTTGTGCATAGACCAAGAGGCAGTAATTTGGACAGAAAAAGAGATTACTCTATAGTTTAAAATCAGAAAAGGTGTCATGAGTGTTGAATCCTTTCACCATACTTATTCCATCTCTATGATGAGTATAATCTGAGAAGCTAGGCTATATGAAGAAGAATGGTTTTGGGACTAGAGGAAGACTCATTAATAACCTGAGACATGAAGGTAGCACAACCTTGCTGAAATTTAGAGAATTTGAAGCACTTAGTGATGAAAATCAAAGACTTTAGTATGGATTATACTTCAACATAAAGAAAACCAGAATCCTCACAACTGGAGCAATAAGCAACATCATGATAAATGGAGAAAAGATTGAAGTTGTCAAGGATTTCATTTTACTTGGATCCACAATCAATGCCTGTGACATCAGCAGTTAAAAAAAATCAAATGATGTATTGCATTGGGAAAATCTGCTGAAAAGACCCCTTGAAAGTGTCAAAAAGCAAAGATGTCACTTTGAGGACAAAGGTGAGCCTGCCCCATGCCATCATGTTTTCAGTTGCCTCATATACATGCAAGGAGCTCTGGTAGCATAGTGCCTAAGGCACTTGACTGCTAACCAGAAGGCTGGCGGTTCAAACCCACCAGCCACTCCTCGGAAGGAAGGTTGGGCAATCTTACTTCCGTAGTGATACTGCCTTGGAAACCCAAGGAGGGGTCGCTATGAGTCGGGGCCGACTCGACGGCAAATAACAACAACAACAACATATACATGCAAAAGCTGAACAGTGTATAAGGAAGACCAAAGAAGAATTGATGTTTTGAATTACGGTGTTGGCAAAGAATATTGAATATGCCATGGACTGCCAAAAGAACGAAGCAATCTGTGTTGGGAGAAGTATAGCCAGAATGCTGTTTAAAAATGATAGCAAGACTTTGTCTCATGTGCTTCGTATATGTTATAGTGTACAAATGGACCAGTCCTTGGAGAAGAACATCATAGTCGGTAAGGTAGAGGATCAGTGGAAAAGAGGAAGGAACTTAAAGAGATAGATTGACATAGTGGGTATAACATGGGGCTCAAACATAGTAAGAATTGTGAGAATGGCACAGGATTGAGCAGTGTTTTATTGTACATAGGGTTGCTGTGAGTCAGAGCTGACTCGGTGGCACCTATCAATAACAACAACTTTTCTAACTCCAAATGTTGGGATTCTTCAGGTATTGATCAGAGGTCTTCTTCTCTGTCAACTCTATACTTCCCAAAGATGAGCTTATCTGTTTTTATAGGTATTTTATCACCTGCACTCCAGTATTTCCAGGCCATACTTGTATCCTGAGCATCATACTTATGCATCCATTTAACGAGGGTTTATTGTTAAATGGATTAATTTAACAATCACTGGCCATGCAGTGGTATACAGACAAAGTCCATGTCTGTTGGGAGTTTACAGTTTGTTACTGGAGACAAACAGTGACCAGTGAACAAGCATCAACATGTAATTATTCCAATCTTTGATTTTTAGTCTTTTTTTTTTCTTTATGTCCAAGGTGAATCTCTTTTAGAGAAAATGTTGATGAATCATGTTTTCTTATCCAGTGTGCAAATCTCCATCTCATGAGTGGTGCATGTAACCATTGACATTAAGTGTAATTATTGATGTGTGAATTTATTGATGTTATTTGTTATGTGTTTTTTCATGGTTTGCTGATTTCTTTGTTCCGTATAATTTTCGGAGCTGAGCTCATTTTGTTTATGAATCATGTTATCATCTCCTTATTTGCTGTTGTTTTAGTATTTGCAAAATATTTGTACTTGTCCTCTTTGTTATTTTGATGTAAAGGCTTATTATTTTTCTTTGAAGTTACCATGTGATTTATTATTTTCTTTCTAAAGTTTAAAACAGTCTGTTCTATCTCACAGTTACCTTGACTTCATCACCATTTAGAAGTTCTGTAACTACAGTGTTCATTCCCTCTTTTTGGTTTGTTGATGCCCTCATCTACCAATTGATGTCTCTGGCTCCCTGTTTACTGTTTTGTAAGCTCATTTTACTTTGAATACTTCTATAACTGGCTTGGTTTCTGAATTGTGTCATCATGTGTTGTTCTTTGCTGTTGTTGGTTCTCTGTCTGAAGGACTTCCTTTTGCATATCTTGTAAGGTTGGTCTGGTTTCAGTGAATTCCCTTAAGTACTGCTTATTTTGTTGTTGTGTGCTGGCGAGTTGACCCCGACTCATAGCGACCCCTCCTTGAGTTCCTGAGGCAGTATCACTATGGAAGTAGATTGCCCAACCTTCCTTCTGAGGAGTGGCAGGTGGGTTTGAACGCCAGCCTTCTGGTTAGCAGTCAAGTGCCTTAGATACTATAATTTCACCCTCATATTTGAGGGATGATTTTGCTGGGTACATAATTCTTGGTTGGAAATTTCTTCTTTCAGGGTTTTGTGTATATCATCGGGAGCTCTGGTAGCATAGTGCCTAAGGCACTTGACCGCTAACCAGAAGACTGGTGGTTCAAACCCACTAGCCACTCCTTGGAAGGAAGATGGGGCAATCTACTTCCGTAGTGATACTGCCTCGGAAACCCAAGGAGGGGTCACTATGAGTCAGGTCTGACTCGACAGCACAGAACAACAACAACATGTATATCATCCCATTGCCTTCTCACCTGCATGATTTCTGCTGAGAAATCAGAGCTTAATCTTATTGGTTGCCCTTTGTGGGTAAGTTTTCATTTTCTCCATGCTGCTTTCAGGATTCTTTCTTTGTCTTTGGTTTTGGTAAGTTTAATGATGATATGTCTTGGTGATTTTCTTTTGGGGTCTATCCTGTTTGGGGTTTGTTGAACTTCTTGAATGGATCTATTTTCATCTTTTATCGTGTTAGGGAAATCCATTTCCAACAAGTCTTTGACACTTTTCTCTGTGATTTTATTTGTCT